ATATATGACTTTTATTATTTTGAGCAAATAATACCGATTATTTCTGCTTTTTATTTTTTTAAGGCAAAAATAAAAGTTAAAATTTGCCTTTTATTTTTTTGAGCAGAAAATAATCGGTAAAAAAGTTAAAAAGTAAGAAAGTCTAAGTTCGGGTGGAGCCGAACATTGAATACCCGGCGCAAGTATTAAATATATGTTTTTTCACCTTTCCGAAAGCTACCGCTAGATGGTAAGCCGGGGTGTATCAATTTTGAGTAAATTAGCGTCCTTAAATTTCGAAATATTGCAGTTTCAAGCATTTCTGAAATTTACCGTTATATGAAAAGCGGCCGTTATTATTATTATTATGGCTCGTTGTCTAACAAAAACCATGTAAGACCGTATTTCGAACCTTGTATATAATTTTATGAAAATTCGATAAGTTTCAACAAAATTGAATAAAATTTTCAAAATTTTTAATAACAAATTTTAGTTTGCAGTTTTTTGCCTATCACATTTTATTATAATAAAGTGCATGTTTGAAGTAGCGACAAATTACCGTTGATTCTTGGCCACTTTTTTGTTGTAGTTCGACAAATTTTGTATATGGAGAAAATGAGCAAACCTTCAACCAAGAAAATTAACCAAAATCTATGATAAGTCCTAGCTAGTTCAAACTTGCACTTTATTAAACTAAAATTGGTCTAAAAAACAGAAAACTCAAAATATTTCTAAGAAATCTAATTAAAAAGCTCAAAATTTTCATGAAACTTGGTGTAATATAAAAACTTGACTTAACACTGCCAATCTGATAAACATATATTCTAGTATAATAAAGTGCAAGTTTGAATTACTAAATAAATTCCCGTTGATTTTTTATATATATTTATTTTTTTTTTGCTGATAGTGATTAATATGTAGCATTACGTCGGTGCAATGACCTTTTTAAGATCCTTCTTTCTCATGTTACTGAAACAAATATTTTTTGTAGATAGGCTGCTCTGTGCGGCAGTGTGCGAAATAGAGGTTTTAGGGCCATACAGCCAGGGAGTAACTTAACTTCAAAAAAAAAAAAAAAAAAAGAAAAAAATTAAATTCAAGCTTCTAGAAGAAACTTCGATTGAGCTGAGTGAATTCGCTTTTTGCAATGCAAATTATTTACAAATTCGTATGCGCTGTAAATGTAACGAAAAACTTGGAAGGGATGCAGCTAGTCAGTCATTGCACTGCCTCAAAACCCAATTTTCTTTTTATCAATTAAAAATAGGTACTATTTCAATACGACACTCGGACACGCTCGTAGCAACTGTTACAGCGGCAGGAAGTGGAACGGACGATGTAAAGCGTAGCCTGCATACACTCAATGATGATCTATTTAGCATATAGCCTTGGATAGGCGAGCGGGTGGGTGAGCGTATGAAGCGGCAGCGCCTGCATTGGATGCAATAATGAATGAATTGAACTGACTGCATCACTCTTATAGATGTTATATATAGTACATATGTTTATATGTACTTACGATGCTTGTAAAAATGCCTATACAGTATGTATGTATATGCACATACATATATGCGAAAGGAGGTAGTATGCAGTGAGAAAACTATAAGCTCTCGTACGAGATGCAATGGTGGAAATTTCAATTTCAGTACGGTGCGGAGGTGTTGGATGCAATACCATATATACATATGTATATGTACTATACCAATTTGTATGGTTGCATTCGTAGTGCCTATGCAAATACATATGTATGTATGAATTGATTGTGAATGCTTATATGTAAATGTTTCGTGGAATGCGTATATACTTAGCATTTTTACTCGCAAGCTGATGAGGGCACAAATGTGTCCACAAGTGGAGAAGATGTGCAAGCGGGCACACCGTCTGTCTGAAATTTTTACTGATAAACGGAAGTGCCACTTATGGGTAGTTCCCTCCCCGCTACCGCCAATACCCCAACGAATACAGTTGCCGACAATATGACGTTGAACAAGTAAATATGTATGTATGTATATGCATCTGCACGCTAAAGTTCATTTGTACTTTAAAGTTGCATTTTTGCATTTAGGGCGCGTCTGAGGTGAATTTACAAGTACATGGAAATGAATTGCACTTCCTGCCATGATTTATTCAAGGATGTCGATTAAAGCATAATGGTAATTTCTGTTAGGTTTGCTTGTTCAAGCTCAGCGTACATTTTTCTGTTAATAATGATACGAAAATCGGTAATAGACCTTACACATACTACGTTGTTTTCAAATAAAAACTACTTACAAAAACTATTTGCAGAATGAAATTGTTATGTTAATGTAATAAGAGTGTTGTAAATTTCTACAATAAAACATATGTAATAGTTAATATAAGCAGATTTGACTGATGAAAACGGCCCTCTAATGCCGAATTTCCACTAGGCATTGAAATTACGAAAAATTGGAGGCATTTAAAAAATGTCATGTGAAAATGAATTCAATGACGTATTTTTCTTAAGTAATGACAAGAATATTTTTTAATGCCCAAGTTTGACATTTAAATTTCTGCCATTTAATGCCTAGTGGAAATCCAGCATAAGTCTGTTATAGTCAAGTTGAACGTTTGAAAGAATAAAAATAAAATTTGAATAAGTCTTTAGATGTGTCGCACGTTTAATAATACAACGAAGTGTTTCAATATTTCACGCAATCAAAATTTTATCAATTCATACAGTTGGTATACAAAAATACAGATGGAAAGGCACATACATAGCTTCGCCATATTTGGGAAGTTTGGTTATTTGTTAAAGTGAACATATTCTACTTACCAAGCCTATAAATTGCATAATGAAATCTCCAAAAACGTAAATTTTAAGTTGCATCTCTATATTATTAAACGTGCGATGTATGTCTAGAGACGAGTCAGTTTCTGTCTCTTTTAACTAAAACTTGATTCTGGAGTGTCTATTATTGAAAAAGTTGTAACTCTGATTTCATATTAAAAGTTACGTTAGTTATGAAAGCGTACAGCCAAACGTGTATATATAACATTGCATTTTAAGGTTTCAAAACTTACCGTTAAAGAGTAACATATTTCCACTTAAGTATGTAGTTGCCTTCTCATGTTTTACAGCAACAGCAGAGCACTCAAGTACTGCTCCAGTACTGCCTGCGCTAGGACTGCACCATTCTCTACAGCCAGCGAGTACGCCGTATCACCATTTTCATTCGATGCCGTCATATCCGGATCCTTAGCTAATAATTCATTGCACGTATGTGGATGATTTCCTGCTGCAGCATACATTAATGCTGTATTGCCTACAATATCCATGTGCGTCGAGCTAGCACCGTGCTCCAGCAACAAGCGTACAACCTCATTGTGACCACCACAAGCAGCAAGCAGTAGTGGAGTGACCATTTCGGGTGCCCCTGCATTCACGTTAGCACCAGCATCCACTAGCAAACGAACTGCAGCCAACTGACCATAATAAGCAGCCCAATGCAGAGCAGTGAAACCAGTTGCATCTTTAAAATCAATGATATTAGCGTTGCGCTCGAGTTCTAGGCGCACTTGATCATCGGTGATCTCACCTTGACCGGCACGCTCATGAAATGACAATGTGACTTCCACTGGACAAAAGGTTGCTTCAGTATTGCCGCGTTGCAAATTCGTAAGCACAGTGGCATGTGGGCGATACGGAAGAAAGGCACTTTTACGTTTGGGTGCACAACCGCTGCCCCCACCACCGCTTGCACTGCCACCGGCATCAGCTGGTTGTAGACTGGCCGAAAAAGAATGCAGCGAAGTAGGTGTGGATATGGGTGTGGTCGTGGTTGAATTTGGCGATGGTGTGTCCGCATTTAGTTGCATATGCCATTTGGAGCTACAAAAACGGGAATTAGGTTAACTTTTTGTCGCGACAAAATATACTTATGTATGTATATGTATACATATGTATATGTATGTATGTAGATATAGTACATAGATATTTTGTTTACAAAATATGTCATGGCATATGTACATATGTGCATTCAAATGGTAGATTATCTCATGATACATTCAGTGCCGCACTAAATTATTGGCACAAGGAATATTTCACAATATACATATATGGTAAAGCAAAATGCTGTACTTTAATTTTTTCCACACATTTTTTATAAAACTATAGTTTATACTACGACAAAAAAATAAAATAAAACTCGGGAAAATTTAATACATTTTCATAAGCAACTTTTTAATCGCTTTTCTACAATTTTTCTATGTACGTATGTAGTTCAATTTTAGTATAACAAAATTCAAACTTAAAGTTGGTAAAAAATCGCGTTGATTTTAGGAAATTTTTTCACGCAGTTTCCTTTCATATAAAGCGGGCAATTAAAAACTGCGTGAAAAAAATTGCCAGAGAGACTTTTTACCAACTTCAAACTTGCACTTTGTTATACTAAAATTGAATTGGCTATACAACTACTTACAGTAACTTACAGAAGTATTCGTAATTTACTGGCTAACCAGAATGGTAAGGCTGTGGTATGTAGCAAGAGTTGTCAAAAGTTAAAGTACTCTAGAAATGCTCTAATCTGCCCACAATATGCCTCTGTGGTTGTGGCGTATTATTGCTTATGTAGCTAGCGAAATAGCTTGTGGCAGTGGTTGTTGTTGTTGTAACAGCATAAAAATTCCCCAAAGAGATTTTGGGGAGTGTTGCTGCAGTGGTGGCAGTCCTTGGCCATATATATATCTATCTGGGTCGTTCCGGTTACGTAGACCCGACTGTCGTGGGAACGCTTGTGGCTGTGGTACTACAATCTGGTTAGCCAGTTAGGTTTTTCACAATATTCAAAATATTTTCCATCATAAATCTTTTTGTTAATTTTTTTTTTTTTTTTTTTTTTTTT